AAAAACATACGTGTTTTTATGTCATGCTTACACACATTTATTCAAATATTCCTATATATCATCAAATATAAGTTACCGTCTACATAAAAACCATCCATTTGTTCAAATCTTCTTACAAAACGGGCATCATTGATCCATTTACAATAATATTGATCAAAATACCACCTTGGAATTAAAGATTGAAGATAAAAACATACGTGTTTTTATGTTACACTAAGATATAACAAAACGTACATAATATATTCATAAACAAAACATGAACCATAACACAACAAAATACAATATACTAAACAAACAAACATATATACATAATTACATATAGTATATTTGTATCTATTTATATATCTTTTCTTGAAACTAACAGTGGTATATCTTTGTCAGTTGCAACTTCTATTATGATGCATGCATTTTCAACAACGAAGTAGATAAAGAACAATTTATGAATTAGAATAAGTGATCAATTTATGAAGGATTGTATGATGTCACCATAATTATATTGAGAAATATATGTTAAATACTATTTGCAATAGAAACTATTTTCAACCTGTTTATTTTGTCACCATAATTATATTGGACACACTTAAGATTAAATCATAGATTATGGCATTGTGTCTTTTCATATTGAACCTTTTTTAGTCATGTTCAATAAATTGTCATGTTATACAGATTTGAATATTAGCGGATGATATTGTCATATTTATACATACTTTTAGATATTATTTTAATACATTTTAAGTTATATTTTGGTTAATTGTAAAGATATTTGACACTTATTAAATTAAATTCTATTTTGCAGCAAAAAATGGATAATCTCGAAGAAAAGAACCAAAACTGAAGATTGTTGACAACTTGGAGATTAAAACTACCATTCAATATAGAAGAAAAAAGAAGAAGCGTGCAAAAGAATGCATGCCACGACGTGGCAATCTAAAGGCCACGACGTGACCACTTTCCTGACATAGAAGCTTCTCGAGACTTGGGGCATACATGTTTTAAGAGATGACCACGACGTGGAGCCTAACTCGCGCGACGTGACAACTAATTTTTGGAATATATATATATATATATATATATATATATATATATATATATATATATATATATATATATATATATATATGTCGAACCTTAGGTCTAATTTCGGGAGTTGGCTTAGGAATTAATATAAGAGATGCGACTAAAACCCTCTGGAGAACCCTTGAAAGTTCTGAATTCGTTTGGAGATCAAGCTTTGAAGATAATTAGAAGAAAACAACTTATAATCATTCGATTTGCATTGGATTAATCATGTCTAGTTTAATGTGTTTCTATGTGTTTATTTTCTGCAATGAGGAGCTAAATCACTAGGCTTTTGTTTAGTGTAAATGAACCTTCATACTATGTGTTAGTTTCTCTTTTCATGGATTTTATGAAGTTGGTTTAACTTGTGTTTAATTATCAATACCTAACATTCTAAAGTTTTAATCTTTGTTGCTTAGATTCAAGTTAAGTGTAGATGAATGATCAATTTAATTGCATGAGCTTGTTTACCTAATTATTTTTTTATCATTAAATTACTGGAGCTAGGATTGGCCAAATCGAGATTAGGTAATAAAAGTAACAACTTTAACTGTGTTAGAGAACATAATTTGATCATAATAGTGTTTGGTAATTTGTCTTGATCATAGATAATTATCTTCGATATATCTTACATAGCCCAATAATCTTAAATAATCAATTATGTGTTCACTTCATAGTAGTTAATGAATTGGTGAAAATATTAGGAGATCGCATCAAGATTCTTAATAATGTCTATATTGGTAATCAATTGTATAAATCCATGTTTTGAAACTAACCATAGGAAAAAGAGGGATTCAAAGCTAAACGAAAGTGCCTTCATAATCTTAATTACAATCTTCTTTAGTTAATTGTTTGCTTAGTTTTGAGTTAATTAAGTAGTTATGTTAATCTGAACTTGCAAAATCAGATAAAACCCCCAATTTAGTTATTGTATTTAGATTAATTATTGGTAGTTATTTTATTAGCTAAATATTGTTCCTTGTTTTCGACACCCGACTTACCTAAACTATCATATAAACTGACTAGGTACATTACCTAATTGCAATTAGTTAATTAAGTAAGTTAGGTTTATACATTTAAAACTGGTAGTATATAAATTGTACATCAGCTGACCAAGAAAGACTATGAGAGAAAAATGAAAGTTGCAGAAATGAGGATGTTTAAGGTGGACTTGTGGTATAACCTTTATTAGATAAAAAAATTGTTAGGAGTACCACAGATCATCGACAAATTAAAAGGACGCCTAAGGTGGTATGTACATGTCCTAAAGAGGCTTCCATCATCAATGATGGGGATGGTAGAGTCTATATTGACTGAGGGTAAAAAGAGAAAAGGACGACCTAGAAGAAAATGGAAGGAGAATATGAGGCTAGACATAGAGAAGCTTGGTTTTTTTGAGGACATGACCTTCGATAAGAGAGTGTGGAGACAACACGTATGAGTAGCTTTGCCCCTAGTATTGTTTTATTTCTTGTTTAGTATTATTAACATATATTTCTTGAACATATGTTTGTTTCCTGATTTATGGTTTTAATTGTTCACACTGACTTACTCCCTTTGATTGTCTCTTTTTGCAGGTTCTCAGATCCTTAGGCATTATATTTTACCTTCTCAATTTCATGTATTGTTGTGAACTATGATTTACTTTCTTAGTGTACCTTTGTTGCAAGTACATGCGACACATGTCGTGGGTCATCCAAGTAACATAGTTGCTCTACATTTTTTGGAGGCAAGATTATGGAGTGTCGACATCTACCTCCCCTAATCCATTTCAATGGGATTCCAAGGTCCGTTGTTATTGTTGTTGTTGTGTTGTTCGAGAGCTTATCACCAAAATGACCGACTCTCTTCTTCTATATTGGCTCCCATTATAAGATACTCACGCGTTGGAAAAAAATAACGAAAACTAAAAATTTAGCCTTACCTTAATTTATATTTTATAATAGATAATTTCTTGACTTGCACGCAAATTAGGACCATTTTTTATTTGAATTACATGCACATAAGTGTCACACTTACATAAACATATGTATAAACAACTTTTTACGATTGTTACATATAAAATACTTCTTTTTATAGCAAATTACCTTACTAAATATGAGTTCTTAACAAAATTTTAAAAGATAATTTACTTGAGTGGTTGACACCAATCTACAGTTTGGGTCCAAGTATTTAAAAATTGATGAGGTTGGTCCTCATGGTTACCAAATCTACCATGTTTGATGGCGCATGAGTTGGTGGCAACGTCGATTAGATGATGCTAGTGTCTTGAGTGGAAGAGATGGGGAAGTGGTTGTGGGTGGTGGAGTATTGGATTAAGTGTTTAAGTCCATAACTATAATTGATATAAACTTGAATTGATAGTAGCACCATCCTTTTGGGTTGCCCTCAAACCTAGCAATTGAATATGATAGCTTTTAGAGAGAGAAAATGATATATTAATTTATTATATGGTTATTGCTATGATATGGCTATGATTGTATGACGTTGGTATTTTGGGAGAACTCACTAAGCTTCGGACTTACAGTTTTGGATTTTGTTTCAGGTACTTTGGATGATCGCGGGAACGCGAAGGCGTAAATCGTGCACCTCCTCACATTTTTATGACTTCGTTTCTATGATACTCTGGTATGAAACTATTTTGAAAACATTTTGTAATAAATAATGGTTTTTGAATGATTGAAAAAGTTTTAAATTTTCATGAATTTTATGGATATTACAAGGTAGTATCAGAGCCTTGGTTTGAGTGAATTGGAGGAACACTCATGTGAATCCAGTCTCAAACCAAGGAAAAAACATATATATATATATATATATATATATATATATATATATATATATATATATATATAAAAAGATTTTCAAAATACTAAAGGAGGATGTAGAGTGTACGATCAGTCGGAGCCAGTAAGTATACCCCAAAATACCATGTAGATATTTGATATTATGATATATTAGATCAACATGCTAGTGATAGGCTAGAGATCTTCAGGAAATACACGATAGAATTGTCTGATTATATGATGTCTGATAACATAGGGTTTTCTTTATATGAAATTGACATCATTACTGTAGTTGCTTAGTGTATGTACTATACTTGTACATAGTTATGATCTTATAACCTGAGAATGTTTGGTTTGACCTTATTTCCTATTCTTGTTTGATGAAGGGATTAGGGTAGGATCATATATTCAAAAGTCTATAGGGTCCAACGTTATGTATGATTAGCATACACGAGTGCTGCAGGGTTGGTGAAAGTTTCATGGATAAGTTGTGCGGGATCAGTGAGCCAGTTATGAGAGCATAAGATATTAGCTTTAATGATTTGGTCCCTTAGTGTGGGTTACTAAGTTGATCCATATGATTTACCCTTTTATTTATTTTATACCAAGGATAAAATGTTTATTTCTAAAAACTAACAACTAAGTTGTTAGATTTAACGGTCCAAGGACTAAAACAGAAAAAAAAAAAAATCGTTGACCTATCAATATATCAAAGAGTAAATTACATGAATGGTCCCTATTGTTAGGGGTAATTCGTGCGTTTGGTCTCTAACTTATTTTTGTTAACTCGGAAGGTCCCTGCTGTTTGTTTTTGTTAAGCGTTTGGTCTCAACTGTTTGTTTTTTTGAGTAAACTACACGAATCATCCCTGGTCCAAGTGCCAAATTGCACGTTCAATCCCTATTTTTTGAAAATTAACTCGGACCGTCCCTTTTGTATTTAAATACTACCCGCCCATTATTGTCATTATACATTAGTTTTCTCCGTTTAGGTGCCCCACGTGCCTTGCACGTAGGGGTATTTTTGTCATTTCATGTCGCATGTATATTATCAACTGCGTATGGCGCCATATCCAGTTCACCCAAACATTGCATAACAAGTCCCCGATCAAAACCTTTCTTGTCTCACAAAAACCCTAGTTTTCCGTCAAGAGTGAAGATGAGTGGGTGGCGTATACGACCACAAATGGATGAAATCAATTTGGAAGCAAGTTATGGTAAGGAAAGCCAACCATTTTATGCTATGTTCTTGATCATTTTTTCTATGATTTTGAAAATATTGTTGTTTTTTTCTTGTGAAGGTGGGAATCCAACTGTTTTTAGTATACGCTTGCACTATGGAGGAGAGTTTACCAAATTTTATGAGATAAAATACATTAAGGGACAACACAAATTTGTGGACTTGATCGATAGTAATTTGTTCTCTGCTCACGACATTGATGATATGATGGAGGAGTTGGCTTGCGTTGAAGAAGGTAAGATTATGTATTATTACTTTAAACGACCGTTAGGGTATTTAGATTTTGGGTTGTTTGCATTGGGTAGTGATCAAGATGTCAACCACTTAAGGTCCCATGTTGCTTCACACAAGCTTAAAGAAGTGTATACAGAATTTTGGCGTACCAACTTGCATACATATGATATGTTACCTAACCCTTCAAGACCCAGGATTAAAGATATTGTTGAACCTTTTTCTTGTTCTAGAAGGTTGTGTCCTGAATGGATTGACACAACCACAGTTGAACCCGCCTGTTTTAGAACCAAGCATGCAAACCCCTACAATGAAACCTAACATGGAATCCCTTAGTCATATTGATGTTGCACATGTTTCACCCCCTAGAATGGAATCCCCTATTGAAGTTGAATTTGTGAAAGAACCAAACATGGAACCCCCTATTATGGAACCCTTTAGTGAAGCCCTAGGTGGATCTAGTGATAATGAGGGCAGCAGAGATTCAAGTGATAGTGATGATAGTGATTTCATTGTGGATGAGGATAACTTATTGGATGATACTGAGGTGGACATACATGATTTCTGCCTCAACATTGATGATAACTTGGAGTGGGTTGGTGATCCCCCTATTACAACAGAGAATGTAGAAATGTCTGATGAGGAGATGGAGGTGATCAACACTGATGTTCTGTAATCTGAGTCATCATCTAATGAAGGGCAAATGAGTAAAAGAAGAAATAAAATTCGGGCTACTGAAAGGGCACAGATAAATGATGCAGCTCAAGTGAGTGATCAATTCTACATACTTCAAACATTCTCAAGTTCTCAGGAAGCAAAATACATAATTTACTTGCATGCAATAGAGACAAGAAGAGAATTGGATATTGTCAAAAATGATAAAAATAGGGGTAGTATGTAAAGGACCAATACCAGATATGGGGATACTTGAGACTTCTGGGAAAGGTAGACTAAGTAAAACTAGTGGGAAAGGTGGGCCAAGTAAAAGGAACATAAATGGTGGACCCAACTAAACGGGTCAAAAAGGAGGACTAAGTAAAAAAGAAAAGTGCAATGAAAGTAGATGAAAGCAATAAGTGCCCTTGGAAACTTTTAATAAGTAAATGGAAAAAGGATGATGATTGGACTGTGAAAATGTATGAAAAGGAGCATAAATGTCTCAAACAATTTCTTGAACAGTTGGAGTCTGACCCATAAATACCGATCATGGCTTTAAAGGAGTAGTTAGAGAGGAAATACCAAATTCAGATGTCGTACATGAAAGTGTTTAGGGCAAAAGCAAAAGCCCTAGAAACTATTAGGGGTCAATATTCTATATTGAGGGACTATCTACTGGAGGTTCAAAGTCGAAACCCAAACACAACAGTCAAGCTTCAAGTGGATAATTCTTCCAACCCTACATCAGATACTAGGATTTTTAGATATGTGTATATATATATATATATATATATATATATATATATATATATATATATGTCTTGGTCAAGTTAAACAAGGATTTGCAGCAGGGAAAAGGGACTTTCTTGGACTGGATGGTGCATTCATGAAGGGTCCCTACCCTGGTATGATTCTAACTGCAGTGGTAAGTAATTTTATACATGGATTAACTAATTAATCTTACATATGACTTATAGATGTTAACCTAGTTTGTTCTTACTGTTATAGGGATTGGATGGAAACAACTGCACTTACCCAGTGACATATAGTGTTGTAGAGTCTGAGAACTACAGCTCATGGACATGGTTTCTAAAAAATCTTGGTGATGATTTGGATTTGACTACCAATTCAAACTTCACATTTATAACTGACAGGCAGAAGGTAACAGTATACACAGATTAACTACTTAACATTTATATTATTTGTACTAATTATATAAAATTGACTGTTTTTATGTTGTAGGGTGTTTTGCCTGCAATTGCAAAATTGTTTCCATGTGCAAAAAATAGATTTTGCCTTTGACATATCTATGAGTATATGAAGCGGAAATGGAGGGGCAAGGAGTTTAAAGATTGTCTCTGGAAATGTGCAACAACATCAACTGTACAATAATTCAATCTTGCAATGGAGGAACTGAAGAAATTGAACAATGATGCATATGAATGGCTTAAAGCCATTCCACCCCAACATTGGTCCAGGACTCACTTCACAGGTTAGTTATACATGTTAGAATTCTTGAACATTGTTGATTGTATGCATCTTAAAAGATTACTGGAAATTATGATGCAACATTGTTATTCTACAGGAAGAGCACATTGTGATGCATTGTTAAACAACCTTTGTGAGACATTGATTAGCAAACTTGTCAAGGGTTGTGACAAAGCAATTATAAGTTGATTGGGATTTATTAGAGAGTACACAATGAAGAAGCTTGTTATTGTCCAAAAGATAATTGACAAATGTTCTGGCCCACTGACTCCTACAACTACCAAGATTCTAGAGAAGATCAAAGGTGAAGCTGCAGAGTATAGGGCCGTGTTTTGTGGAAATGGGAAGTATCAGGTTACGAGTGGTGAAGGTGTGGACCAATGCGTAGTTGACATAACACAACATACATGCTCATGTAACAAATGAGAGGTCACTGGCATACCATGCAAGCACACAATTGCAACTATATGGGATATGAGGAGAAATAATGAGAATGTTGGGATACCTGAAACATAAGTTCACCCAACATACTGGTTGAAGACATGGCAAAAGATGTATGCCTTTAAAATTGAACCAATTATCGGGAGGATGATGTGGGCAAAAAGTCATTGTCCAACAAGGTTACTACCACCAAAACACCATGTGCCTATTGGTAGGACAAAAAGAAAAGAAGAAGATCTGCTATTAAAGATAATAGTGCTACAGGGACCAGAACAACTAGATGTTCAAAGTGTGGAAATGGTGGGGATAATGGTAGGAGCTGCAAGGGGCAGGCAGTGGGAGGATCACAGACCAGTGGTAGTGATGTAGGATATAATGCTGGTGTGGGACAGAACTCAGGTGCTGTGAACAATGGAAAAAGTTTGATGGTTTAGTGTATGTGTATTGCTTTCTTGTCTTTTGGTTGGCTAATGCTTTTGATGTACTTGAAACAATCTTTTTTCCATGTCTTTTGGGTCTGTAATTTTATTTTGAACTATTGTTGTGCTACTTCTTTAACTATGATGGTGATGTACTTCAAACTATGTTGACTTGATGAATTTTTGTAATGGTTTGAATGACTTAATAATTAATTAGGTTGTTAATGTATAAATCCATGTTTGTAATGGTTTGATGACTTAATGGTATGATATAAATTGTTGTTTTGGTATGAATACTTAATGGTATGATATAAATTGTTGTTTTGGTATGAATACTTTGGTATGAATACATGTTTGGCAATTACCAAAAACACCCAAATTTCATTAACATGCAAACTGATACTTCGAACTTGAGTTTGTACAATAAAAGGTAAATGTATCTGATAACTTATCCTACACTATGTACACTAGAATTGACACAAACAGAAACCAACTAATAACTAGATACAACTTCAATTTTAGATTTTATTGTTCAAGCTTCATCCTAATGTTCATACAAGCACATTTCTGATCATCCACCACCCAACTAATGAACTTGCAACACGAGCCTGCAAAATATGTGTAGAAACATTTAACAATGCTAAAATTTATAGAAAATAGGAGAAATTAGGATATTAGGTTAGATTTATCAAGAAATCGAAATTAACTGGGTTAGAACAAGCATAATAATGTTTTCCAGTGTTGTTCTTGCTCCATGAGTTACGAATCACAGCTTTAGCTCCACAACTGCATCTAATTGCCATTTTTGTTGGTTGGAGAAGGGTAATCGAAGAACGAAAGGGGGAAAAGTAATGGGGAAGAAGACCGATGAAGATAAATGAAAGCAGGGGAGGGGAAATGACTCTAATAGGGGCATACAAGATGAAATGATGAAAATACCCCTGCATGCAAGGCACGTGGGGCACCCAAACGAAGAAAACTAATGTCTAACGACAGTAGAGACCGGGCGGGTAGTATTTGAATACATAAGGGACAGTTCGAGTTAATTTTCAAAAACAGAGACTGAACGTGCAATTTAACACTTGAACCAGGGACGATTCGTGTAATTTACTCTTGTTTTTTAAACACTTGGTTCATGTCTTACCTTAAAAGACTATTATATAAATAAGGAAAAATGGTGGGGTAGATAAGGTAATGTGAGGGGTGAGGTGAAGTTGAGGGTGTGTTTATTTAATTAAATTAAAAAAATCAATGGAAAAATAATTTTTTTTAGATAAAACAGGGACCAAACAATAAGGACATTTTGTGTTAAAATAAATAAATTAGGAAAATAAATAAATTAGGGACCAAATGTGCAAAATACCCTAAACCATTGGGACCATTGATGTAATTTACTCTATATCAAAAATCGTATTTTTGTTCCAGTCACCATAGACGACGGGTCTGCCTTCCCGGCGGTGCCATAAACAACCAACAAACCAAATATCGTGCGAGGCAGATTGAAGAAAAATGAAAACGACGGTGGCGGAAGGAGACTGTAGACAGTGGGATGAAGACGCTTACAAAGACAGCATATTGGAGGAGAGGGAGTCGCATTCACTCACCATCTTCCGAACTGCCTTCTCCCCGTCTCCTACCAACCAAAACCCTAAATTCATCGTCGCTGCTTCCAGCGACGGTTCCATCGCTACATACTCTTTATCCTCTCTAATCGCCTCCACTGTATGTTACATCAACTATTACTCCTTTTTCTCTTTGAAATTTCAATTTTTACATTTGTATGTGCATTACAAGTCTCAAGAGCTAGTAGTAATTCAATACGTTAATCCCGAATTTGCAACAAATAAGGAATTTACAATGCTTAGTGTCAAATGTTGGATTGTTGCTCTTATTTAGTTTTTCGGGATATTAACTATCGCTTTGTTCTTCCATATATGTCTATGCCTGTGTTGGCTTATGAGTGGATTGTAGGGTTTATCTAATTATAATTTTACTTTCGTTTGGTTCTGCAGCCATTGGGATTTGGAAATTCTAGGGCACAAAAGTAAGTCGCATTTGATTGTTTGATTTCTGTTTTTGCATCAATAATGGTCATAAATAGCAATTTAGGGTTTGTTAGGATGTGAATTTTCTTACCATTGCTGTTTTAGTTTATTTGTAGCTGAACCAAATTGTTTACTTCACGGACATGATGGACCTGCTTATGATGTTAAGTTCTATGGCGATGGTGAAGATTCATTGTTATTGAGGTAAACATCTACTGATTGTTTCTAATCATATGACTATTTACATCTTTCATTTTACATTATTCATTCAATCACCAAGTATTTTGTCTGTAGAAACAAACTCTTTTTAAAAACTATATACATATTTTATCTGCCAACAATCTTGCAAATTGAAGCTCATTCTCAAGAAACATGTCTTGTACTCTTCTTTCCTCATTCTATATTGTAAACTATTTATGTTCATTGACACTCAAATTCTGTCTTCCAAGTGTTAGCTTTCATTGAAGATTCAAAATATCTGTTAACTTAACTTGTTATTTAGTTGTGGTGATGATGGTCGAATTCGTGGATGGAAGTGGATGGACGTTTTGGAAGCAGATCAGGATAGTTTGCCACAAAGTAATATATTAAACTTAAGTTAAAAGTTTTTAGACATACGGTATATTCATATATTCATCTCCTGAAAAGAATTTCATATTCTTTTTATTCATTTTTATTAACCAAACTATAATATTTTCAGGTGGGGCTTTGAAGCTGCAACTTGACTTGGCAAATCCTCAACATAAGTCAGTCAACATCATATTTATGTTTTGTATTTTGCTTTTCTGATTCCATTCCTGAGTTCTGACTTGTGGATTCCATTCTTCTTCAGAGGTCCATGGGGTGCTCTTTCCCCTATACCTGAAACTAACGCCATTGCTGTTGATACTCAGGTTTGTAACATTTTGGTTATTGGAGTTTGTTTCAAATTAGAATATGATTTGTTTTTTATATTTCTTTTGATTTTTATTTACCATAGGGAGGTTCCATATATGCAGCAGTTGGTGATTCCTGTGCCTATTGTTGGGATGTGGTATGTATCTCCTGAAGGTGATTAAGCAATCAACTAAGGATGGATTCTTCTTCTTTTTTTCTTTTTTCTTTTTTCCATTTGAGCTCCATTTTTCCAATGTAATTTCAGGAGGAATCTAAAATCAAAATGACATTCAAAGGGCATGCTGGTTATTTACATTCGATTGTTGCTCGAAATTCATGTCATCAGGTATCATGTTTGATCATTTTCTTTTATTTGCTCCTACTTAGGCCCTGTTCCTTTTTTTTTTTTTCACATTAGATGCCTAATAAATATTTAAGAAAATGACAACACACTTGGGAAAATGAAAGTTACAAACCTTCCCAACAGATAAACCTTTTCAATTTTTTTTTTTTAAATAACTAATTTATTCTCATCTGTCTTAAATCCTTTTACACTCCTTAATTTACAGATTATAACTGGCTCAGAGGATGGAACAGCTAGAATCTGGGGTAAGTATTCAATGGGGCTATAAAATAATTCAATTTTTTCAAAGGAGGGACATGGATTTGTCCTAGATTACCTGTCTGTGCAAAAGACGTAAATGTCCTCCTCATCCTGAACCTCAAAAATATCCCCATAAAGCTTGTTCAATTCCGTCTAGTTAACCTTAATGCAAAAAAAAAAAACAATTTACATTATATATAGACATCTTTTGACGTAGCATGCAAAAGACGTAAACGCCCCTCCATGGTTTCTTGCAGATTGCAGAAGTGGAAAGTGTAGTGATGTGATTGAGCCAGGGAAATATAAGAAATCCAAAGAGTTTTTTTCGTATGTCAGTTGCATTTCTCTTGATGCTACTGAAAAGTGGTTGGTAAGGGTTCTTGACTTCTTTCCTCAATAAGTCGTAAGTTTTTACAAATTTGCCCCTGTTTATTTTCTTTAAAATCGTTTATAGGCTTGTGGGAGTGGGCGTAATTTATCAGTGTGGAATCTTTCGGCTTCTGAAAGAATTTCAGGGATTTCGACTCGTGCTTGCATCCAAGATATATGCTTTGATGATAATCAAGTAAGCAAAATTAGTTTACTTTGTTTTAATAAATTTATATAATTATTTAACTTGATATATATTTCCAGATATTAGCAGTGGGAGCTGAACCAGTGGTGAGTCGATATGACATGAATGGTGTGGTGCTTTCTCAGATACAATGTGTTCCTCGGTCAGCATTTTCGGTCAACTTGCATCCATCCGGTGTATGTTCCTTTTTAAGTAAATGCAAATTCAAACATGAAGCTTTTTTAGGTGTTTTTAAATTTTAAATTTTTTAATTTTTCAGGTTACTTGTGTTGCTGGTTATGGTGGGGTGGTGGATGTTATCTCTCAATTTGGAAGCCATTTGTGTTCGTTTCGCTGTCAAGCATATAAATGAAAGTTAAATTGTTGGGTGGATTTTTATTTAACAATGTATTTTATATATATATTTGATGATTGCAATACAGTGATCATAGACTTGATGAGTGCAGAACCAAACCACCATGTTTGATTATGATTTAGCTTTTCATATTTTGACTTTTATCTTTTATTATTATTATTATTATTATTATTATTATTATTATTATTATTTTTGAATCACATGTCGGGAATACTTGGCCATTATCTATGAGCGACTTATAAGAGATTGAAAAATGGACGGGTAAACTTGGGATATTGTACATTGACATTAATAGTGCCAACATGTCATCGTCCTCTTCCTTGGTTAGACTTGCCTCTTGATTTTTTTCACTGTCTTCTATTTTTACACTTTAAAGCATAAGGATCGAGATATTGACAGTTGTAGCATTGTACCTTACTTTTATTGCGAGTAACTGATGAATTTCAAACTCCTTGGTTCTGGTGGGGACCGACGCCCCAACGGCATCCTCGGTTATAGTTATTTCCTTGTCTTCCACTACTCTACCACGACGATGATACTGAGTCACTCTTGATAAGTTAGTAATAATTCCTACCCAATCTCACCTTGTTTCTTGATATATCAAAATCAAACCACTCTTGATGAGTTACCAATAGCTACATCTTGTCATTATTATTCTGACCGTGTAATTGCTTTTCATGTGCGTTCAATCTCCTTACTACTTTTTCAACATTCATTATTTCCAAGTTTGCAATTTGCTTAATCGTTGAGGCAATTTGCACAAACTTAGACATAAGACTATCTCCATTCATAACCTATGCAACCCAATTATCTATTAAAAAAATATCATCTCTCATTAAAATACACAATCTAATCATACCAAAATTTTATCACGGAGGGTATAGGTGGGAAACTTACCCCACTTTTTGTGGGTCGCAACACCATTTCTCTCACTTTTTTTTTCTTCACCTATACCCAATGAATGAGTGAGAAACTTCCCTCACTATTTTTTTATTTTAAATATATATATATATATATATATATATATATATATATATATATATATTTCCTACAAATATTATCCTCAAGGAATTAAAAACCATAAGTTTTGATATATATATATATATATATATATATATATATATATATATATATATATATATATATATATATATATATATATTTTATAAATTTTAGTAACTATATAATTTAATAAGTATTAAAAAAGATAAAAAAAAAAGTTGGTCAATAGAAATAGAAGAGAGTGAGAGAGTGGGCTCCCTCACCTCCTTCCCTCATGACCTTTCCGTCCATCAAGGTGTAGTGTTCAGCTGGTGAGGGAAAGTTTCACTCACCCTTTCCGTCGCCCACACCATCCGGTCTTAGTAATTCAATCCAACCAAATTTTAACTAAAAAAATTATATCAATATTCATCCCATTTTATAGAGAAAAATAAAGCATGTATTTTGGTATATTTTATTTTATTTTTTAATAAGATAAACTATAGTTATTTCAAAATTAGTTTTGGTTTATAAAAGTTAATTTAATTCCACCTTTGAGATGGACATGCGTAATGAAAAGTTTAAGAAATTGGTGACCGTGAGATTTCTTCAAATTTTCTTTTATTTTTAAATATTTGATCGGTGAGCCATACTTTCTAGCTCACTTGGCGATAGCCTAATAGCCTAGGCTTCCTCAACCTTGTCTCCAAGGCTCATATATTAATGCTGACCAGGTTGCTCACCTTTATAGCAAATTCATATATTGTTTCCGTTTTCTTCGTGCCGAGCATATCGAACACAACTTTCAATGTCTATACCTTTGCGGTTCTCACTCTATGACTTTTAGGGTATCCAAAGTTTCTTTTGCCGTTTTCTTCTCCATAACTGATAGTAATAAACCCTCCAGAATTCCTGATAGATGGTGATGAATTTAGGGCTTCATACTATGTGTAACACGGAAAAAAATAGTAGCCGCCCAATAGTAGAAAAAGAAAAAATTAAATTTTTTGTGGGACACACAGCAGAACCCCCTGGACGAGTGCCATCTTGTCTTTCTTGACATTAACAGGTTCTGAGGGTTCTTGGGCTCCACGTCTTCCCACACATCTTGAGCTCGCATATACTTTCATTTTGATGTCCCAAACAATTTAATTGCTTCTGGTCAACATCGGATTATCGGATAATGGATTGCAAATGAACTGGACCTTCCATGACGTCGAGGCTTGTGTCTTCTGATTAGCTTGTTAGTTGCTTTGATACCAAGGGTAAACAGGGACAACCCTTAGTGGGAGCTAATTTTTAGGAAATTTATGTGTACTGCAATTTTTTCCGCATGCTACCCCTTAAATTTACATTCCAACAAAAGTCTTTTTTGTGGTAGCCATACGAGGACAATGGCGAAATGCCGCCAGACATTTAACACACATAAAAAGCTATAAATTTTGTTTATTATATATTATAGAAAATAATATCTAAAACAAAGAAATATATATTATTAGAACTTAGAAGGAAAGTTATTCCATAGCTAGCTAGCAATTAGAAATTGGTAACAAAGAGGAACGTTTACGTTGCATACTACATATAGAGCTCAACGTCGGACAACCTTTGTGATGGGACTGCGAACATTGGTTTTCTTTTCTTTAAAGTAATGCCAAATTTTTCCGAAAGGTCATGGTCTTCACCCTTAGGCAAGCTCCAGTCAAACGAGTGCAAGAGCGAGGCCAATATATACATTTGCATCTTCTCCGCCAATGGAACACCCGGACACAATCTTCTCCCAGATCCAAACGGGAAGAAGTTTAGATTGCTTCCTTTCGAATCATATTTGTTTGTCAAGAACCTCTCCGGATTGAATTCCAATGGATTCTCCCAATACCGAGGATCCCTATGGATTGCCCAAACATTAATAATGACCATACTACCCTTTGGAACCGTGTATCCATCTACAACACAATCCTGGCTTGGCGACCTTGGGAGTATGAATGGAAGTACAGGGTGCAACCGGAATATTTCCTTAATAGTCGCATCTAGGTATTGTAGTTTTGGGAGATGAGATTCTTCCACAATCTTGTTGGGTCCTACAATTTGTAGCAATTCTTCTTGAATCCTTTTCATTGTGTCGTGATTTTGCATAATCTCAGCCATTGCCCATTCTATTAGCGTTGTCGTTGTTTCTGTTCCTGCAACCATAATGTCCTGATACGCACAACGATCGATGTTTGATGTGAACCACAAAATATAATAAAGTATGTAATGTAAGTCCATTTGAAAAGAAAATCAACAATTACCAGGATAAGTGCCTTTATTTGCGTGATGTTAATTGATGTTGGATATTTTTGGTCCATGAGCTCTAAAAAGGTTTGTAAAAGATCTTTCTTTCCTTCATGAACAACTCCATCGTTGGATTTGTTGGAGTAATTAGATCGGATTCGATCGTCAATAATTCTTGTAAAAATTCGATCCAACCGATCGAGTTGCCTCTTCATGTTCCCCTCGATGCCTTGTAGATCAAGCCATGCAAGACTAGGGAAGATATCAGACATATTTGGCTTGCTTATCAACTCCACGATATTTGCAACAACGATCTGCAACTCGGCTGCAATCTGATCTCCATTTGCTTTTTCATCCGAAGTGTTTTTCCAAACCATGCTTGTGAGGACATTGGCCTCTGTTGAGAAAGCAATCTCGCTAATGTCGACTGTTTTCCCGATTTTACTGTAGACATTTTTGATAGTTTTCCTAACTTCATCCCTACGAAAATACCTTGATGCTTCGAGATTCTTGTGGCTTAGGACCTCATGGACAAATATCTTACGAAGGTTGCGCCAATCCTTGTTGTTGTCAGACCACACTACATCTCGGCCACCATAAGTGATTGCTACTGCAGCGATTGTTGCATTACGGTTGGAAAAGATCTCGTCTTGTTCACGAACCACCACCTTTGCAAGGTCGGAGGTGTTTATCACGACGTGAAGTTTGCTTCCCATGTGGAGCTTGAAAATGGGACCATAACTGTGAGCCATGTTAAAGAACTGTTTGTGTAGGTCACGGGAAAGAAATGGAAGGTAGCCTACAATTGGCAAGGAACGGGGGCCTGGTGGCAAACATGGTCCACCATTAATGGAGGACCTCGAAAATGTCCACCTGTAGAAGAAAGTAGCCAAGATCATTGTTGAAATGGCGAGAGTAAGCTTATCTTTGTTGCTGGTCATCACTTCGAACCATGATCCCTGGTAGTTGTTAAACTGTTCCATTTTTGCAATTGAGGAGGTGGTGAGTATACAATGATGCAAGTCGATTGCAGCTATCATTTAAACCACACCCCAATTTCCCTAAGTATTGATAAAATTTGCCAAAACTAATCAGTTTAAGGAATCAAATAAATAAAAGTATTATTGTAGTAAAATGTCTGCTAAGATTCAAAATAGTGAAAGCCATGTGAGGCCTAGCTTCTCGCTTACATATCTTTTAAATAATAGACACGATAATCATCATCTTATAGTTATTCATTTAAGAAATGATTAAACATTATTAACGTTGTATTGTATTAGAAGATGCAAAAGTGAGATCCATTTCGAAAGCCTTAATTTGCGATTATGTTTTGTTTTTTAAATAAGAATATTTAGTTAATCGGAAATCATATTTATTATTATCATTTATTCCAAAAAAAACTCTATACTATTAGTGTATCTTGTCCCATGAATCTAATCACAAATAATGCAAAGAAAATAATTAGACTACAAAGTGAACCAATCATTTCACTAAGGTCTTTCGGTTCCGCTCTTTTTCACGCGTGAAAGCTGAGGTGCATGAGGGTTTTAATATCTACCAAAGTGAAACGATCACTAGATCGAGTGGTCTTGGAGCCTACACAAATGTAAAGATCCCTCTAAAAATCGAAGATCATAAAACCAACTAAAAGAAGAGATGAGGAATTATACCTGTAGTCATGGAACCAATGTTGGAGGATCCCTCTTGTAGGCTGGACTGGTTGAATTTAAAGGATCTATACACATCAGAAAGTGTGAGAAAGTTAATGATCTTTTCCTCTGTATCTTCAGCACCAAAAATAACATCTCCAATCTTGAAACCTGTAACAAAACAAACAAAATAAGAAAGTAAATTTTAGTAAATTTACTTCTTTGTCCATCGGGTCGGGTTACCCTCTATCTATTTGCCGGTTCAAAAAAAAAAAAAAATTAAATTTTAGTATCTTTTAAAATAATCTTGAAATCCTACCCTTCTTAATCCATTATTTGGGCAGAAGATCCCCTTCAGGAATGGAATCACGTCTGACAAAGAAGTATCTCTCCTTCCAAGTCCTATCGTTGTGTTTTGTTTTCAGCACAAGAGGGGATTTGTTTTTAACTTTGAACAGGAAACGAGAATTGCCGAAAGTCGAAAGGTTATAGACATGGGAGAATTTAGCCAGACCCATATCAAGACCATGAGTTTGATTCAGATGCTTAACCCAATATAGGATCCTTCTAACGTTAGGCATCACCTGGATATAAGGGAACTTTGTAACCTCAGAAAATTTAGAAATCACACCAAAAAAGGGTATTTTATGCCTAGAGAAAAAGGGTACTTCGGGAAGCACACCCATGAAGGGGAAATGAAATCTGGGTGGATCAAAGGGTCGTATGGCTTGAACACAGTGTCGGGGGGAAAAGCACCACCATCTTTTAGAGACTGGATGTCTCTATTGTCAAAAGAGCATGTCTCGTCATAAGACAAAAACTTTTGATCAGTGAAGTCATCCTCAGGAAGACCAAGAATGTTTTTGCGGGAATCGGTCATCTTTTTGCCCATGATCAAGAAGTTTATAGAAAGATAAGGAGGAATTTACCTTCGAAGTTAGCTGGTAATGATAAAAAAAAGACCAAGAAAGAGTAGAAGAAAACTTACCGTTTGCCCCTATTTATAATGCCGACTGAATTTGACTGCCTCATAAATACCTCTTAAACGGGTAGAAATCTAGTCACTTGGGATTTCAAATTCAAAAAACTTATCTTTTTACCATTCTCGCTATTTTTACTCATTCATTTTAATTTATCCCTTCAATATATTCGGAACTAATTCACTTATTTTCAAGGAAAAATTGGGGGCAATTGTTAGGCCTAGGATCTCTGAACTACAATAAGATCCTCAAACTTTAGGATCCCAAACATACTTTATGATCCTGACTATTATTTCCCAAATATTTGTAACAATTATATATTATATTGTCTTTCTGACATCTGTAGAAATAACCAGTCAAAGATATGTTTTCAACGAATACTCGTTATAACCATGAAAAAGACCTGGAAGACCAAGTCCAACAATATCTACGAGTTAATCTCGAAGGATCCCGGAATTTTCGGAGTTCTTGTTGCTTAGCTTTAGACTTTATAAATCACTTGAATTCATCACACTACACACAAAACTTAGTAGAAAAACAACATTTGTACCCACACTTTTTGTATTTTCTCTGTAATCATCATTTTGACTAATAAAATCATCAAGATAGGTGATCATTATCACCTCTTAATGTTTTATGTCGTAGATCATAACAAGGATCAAAGACTTTCCTTGTAAACAACTTGTGTCACTTTGATTTATATTTCATACTTGTATTATTCTGAACATCACAACCTCTCATACACTTTGGGCGATCTTAGCTTGTTTATATTTTGACCAAACTATACACACACACACACACAGAGCTAGGTTCAAGTATTCTAACTAATTATTGTGCGGATATCGTATGCTATGAGAATGATAAAGACAATATGTTGTTTGATAATATAAATACGTTCAATTTTACATAACTATGGTGATTAACACACATTCTCACTAATTACATCGTCTATAAGGTTATTATACACTTATTATTATTATTTTTATTTTTGTCATAATGTTTATTTGAGTCGTATTCTGTCAGAATAAAAATTAATGAAAAATGATGTGTAAGAACAAAAATAAATAATTATTAGCTAGTTAGCATGAAAATGACGATATTTTTGTAAGATTGAACGTATTTGCATTGCTTAACAATTTATTCTCTTAGTAATTTTCATAGCATAAAATATCCGCACAATAATTAGTTAGAATAAAATAACCTAAGCTTTATATATATATATATATATATATATATATATATATATATATTTATATATATATATATATATATATATCCCCTAATCTAATAAATAAATACATTTTTGTCAAGTGGCAATCTCTAAGCCTCCCCCAATCAATTTTTCCCGCTCAAATGTCTAAGTTAATTTCCGAAAATATCCTTTTACTTTAAACTCTCGGTGCATAGAATCCGGTAAGAGTTTATAGCTCCATCTTCGGTCTCCCGTAGAATTAGCAATTAAATTGCAATAAATCAGGAAACAACATCATCTCCAAATTTGAATTGTTCTGTTTAACTCAACATCTTATATAGTCATTTCCTCCCATGTTCAAATTTGTCTTCGATTTAGGGTTTTGCAAAGGTGAAGATGATCTGCTCTCAAAATCCCCATGTGCTTCTACTTTGCTTCTCTTCCATGAGACTTTTTATTTTTGGGTTTTTGATTTCATGTTAAATTTTGGTATCTTGATTTCACTTCCCGGTCCATATCTTTCTTCGTTATTTCTTCTTTTCAACCATAATGTTCTTTTTCCTACTTGCGATTGCAAGGATTCTAGGTGTCGTCGCTGCTCTGCCAACATGAATGCTCGAATCTAATGAAGAAGGGGTTATATGGAACAAAAAACATGGATTCCTTACATTTGTTTCTCCTAACGAAGAAGTTGACACCTACATGTTATGGGTTTAAACGAAAGCAGGTATTTTCTCCCTTCATCTCTCCCTCTTTTCAGGATTTCATTCAATTTGATATCCTGGTAGCCTAAATCTCGGCAAATCACTGCCTTCCCATCTCATTTAAACCCTTAATTTCTTCTATAACATTACTATTCAAAAAATAATATATTTCTAAGCCCTATGTTACTGCCAAGATCGAAAAAAGCAAGAGACTAGGGGCTTTAAAGTTTGAGCGGAAATGGAGGATGCGACGCTCGACAAGTTCATCAAGAAGCTTTTAGATTCTAAGACCAAACCAGTTTCCATTCTCGGAATCAGAAATTCTGAAGCTTTGTTTTGCTTCCATAGAGGTTTTCCTTAACCAACCTAATTTGCTCAAACTTAAAGCCTCGATTAAGATCTGTCATAACCAAATTTATTACTACTAGCATTGAGTTCTTTCTGTATGGGTGTTTGATGTTTCTATACCTACCAAATGGTTTGTTCTTGGCATAAATTCTCAATATTAACAATTGGAGGCATAAATTAGAGGATTGAATTTTTCTTATTTTAAGTTTAGAATTCTTGAGAAAATTTGAAACTCTATGTGGTTTTGAAGTGATTTAAAGCATTTGGTAGGTTTAATTAATGGTTGGGTCAACATCATATTGCCGATCACCTCCCCTGGACGGAAATTCATCGAATCAATCTGTGTTTGTAGCTTTACATGAATTTGGATAGTGGGCCCTAAATCTGGTTGTAAATTGTGCAGCCAAACATGGTTTCGATTTCTTATTTTTGTTTTGTTTTTTTTTTTTTTTAATTTGTAATGAAACAAGGCTCAATTTTAGGTTATTTTTCTTAATTTTATATTTTCAATTGTCTTTAGGTTTGTTCTTATTTTTCTATTTTTATACTTTTTATATAAGTGGGTTTCTATAAGAGTAATTTCTCATGATTGTCACTTTTCTTTGGCTTGTAGTTTTGACCAAACCTTGAGAATTCACCAGCCTATTACATAATATTTTAGGTAAACTCTATTATAGACCATATCTTTCACCCCTTCTTTTAGATATATAAGAGAATGAACCATTAAGCAGAGCTTTCATATAAAATGGTTATCTTTTTATAATTTCTTGATTTTCTACTAAAAAGATATATATGACATGTTTAATTGCTTTCTAATGTAGGTTTTGGTGGTGATTGTTTTTATTGCAGTTTTCAAGTGTTGGATATGCTAAATAAAAAAGGGATGTAGAAATGCTTGTGGTTATACAAAATCCAGGGGTGTATGTGCCAATAAAGGTGAGTTTCTTCTTAAATTTTTGAGTTTTTTCTTCTTAAGCTCTCACCTTCATCTTGTATGTGTCCTGAATATGACTATAGGAGATTTGTATTGCACTTTTACATAGCTTCCGTATATACTTTTTGGACTAGAGAATGAAACTCATGGAGAAAGATGAGGTTAAATTTTTTCAAATTTGGTTTTAGGTTATGAGGTAATTAAAAAAATGAAAATTGCTTTGAGGATGTGAG